GGCCATAGGTTTTGCCATGATGTAATCAGGACACGCAGGTATTTATAAAGCACAAGTAAAAATGGGCCTTCTTTGATTGTTTGCTCTCGACGAGGGGAAATATCTAATCAAGTATATTACCAGGTATACATTTTCCAGTCTCAAAAGAGCCTTCGAAAGTGAGCATCGATATGCCCTGCTCGCTTCAAAAGCACTTACAGAGCACTTGAAGTGAATACTCAAGATACTGAAGGGTGCAGAGCTTTACTCTCTCATACTGGCTGCTTTGGAACACCCTATACGAAGAAATACGATAATGTTACATTTTGATTTGGAAATGTACTTTGCAAATCAAATGCTTATTGCTGATTACTGTCATTAGTGTGGTGAATAAATCTTCTTTTTTTTTTTTTTGTCTTAAAGGGATAGTTCACCCAAAACTAAAAATGATGTCATAATTTACTCACCCTCGTGTCGTTCCAAAGTATGATTTACTCTCTTCTGTGGAACATAAAACAACATATTTTGAAAAAATTGGCGGTCCAAACAACGCTGTATACCAGTGATTTTCAATATATGTGGGGGAAAAAATTCTGAGACATTTCTTTTGTGTTCCACAAAAAAAAAAAAATAAATTACAGAATTTTAATTTTTCATTAAAAAAATCAACTTCTCTCTGTTTCTCCATGTGTAAAAATGAACAAATAGGAAAACACATTAAGGATAGGGATGTTTTCCTTTTGATATAGTGTTGTGCAAGAGCAAACTGAGAAGTTTGCCAAGTGCCAAGTAGGATGAATGCATTACTTACAATCACAAAAATGCCTTTTGGAATTTGGCCATTGTCTGAAAAAACAAAGACCTCTATTCACTTCAGAAAGGAAGTTTTCATCATGCTAACACCTGCTCAGCTTCATCAATAGTGTTAACAAAAGAAGAGAACATTTAAGCAAAGTATGGACATTTGTAGAAACATGTAATTGAAACAGAACGGGGCGTTTTTGCCTTTAGCTCTGTCTTTGTAGAAACAACACACAAATTGTTATAACTTCCATCCTCCATCTTCCATTAAGCAAACAGTTATCTCTGTTTAAAATAAAAAATCGCATACATTGCCACTGCTAATATCTAACATCCTACTACATGATTGTTAGATGTGATGAACAGCTATGTGCTTGTAGAGGACTAAGTTGTCGAGGCTTTGTTTGAAGTGATCAGGCTGTTATGTGTCTGCTTCACATGACAGATGTCATGGCTTGCGCAGTTGTGTCAAAATCTGCCCATTCTATGTCAGATTTGGTAAGCCATATGCACATTACATAATACGGAAAGTCTGTCATCGCTTACGCATTCCACAACCCGATACGATCATATCCATCATCTGCGTTAAATGGAAATGGGGCAAGGCTGTAGTGTCGCTGGAAACCTCTACTAGCCGTCTGTTTGGTTACCTCCTGTGACCTACTTTAGCTGTACTGCATGTTAGTCTTTGTCATTAGAATTTGGAGTCCTCATTCCATGGCCATCAGAGGTATGATATTTTCGTTCTCAGTGTCATATCGAGTGGACTGAAGTCCAGGATGTATGCCACAGTTGGGGCAGGAAGTTTGGCGTTTGACTATGAGGTCAGTTGGTAATAATGAATGTAGATGTTAATGTGCTGTAATGACCTTCTCTGTCCACATCTTAGAGGCTCTCTTCAGGTCTCCTGTTCCCATCATACCGGACCTCTGTCAAGCCACCCTACAGGGCACCCACACTGATGAGACTAATGCTTGCGACGGTGCTTTCAAAACGACACACTTGGCCGCATTAAACCTTTGCGTGATAAGTTGCTTTTGCTGAGAGTGTTATAGGGATGTTTCAGGTTCAATACAAGTTTTGCTTAATCGACAGAATTTGTGGTATAATGTCTGTTACCACAGAAAATAATTTCAACTTTAAGAAGAAAAAAAAATGCTTACAGTATCATTAATGGGGCTGTTAGCATACACAGCTTATAGCCATAGTATTTAAATATTGTACAGTACCATTCAAAATTTGGGTTGGGTAAAAAACAGCAATGTTGTGAAATGTTATTACAATTTAAAACAACTATTTGAATATAGTTTAAAATGTAATTTCTGATTTTTTTCAGAAATTTTTGAATTGAATTTTTTAAATGAATTTTTCAGCTGAATTTTTAGCAACCATTACTCCAATCTTTAGTGTCATATGACCCTTCAGAAATCATTCTAATATGCTTAAGACATATTATTATCATTGTTGAAAACAGTTGTGCTGCTTAATTTTTTATTTTTTATTTTTTGGAAACCATGATTATTTTTGCAGGAGTCTTTGAATAGCAATTGTCACGGTAGTGAAGGTTCGATCCAACTTGAGTTGTGCCAAAAATGTAGTGTACTCAGTGGGTTAAATATTTGCTATAATCGGCAAATAAAAATGATAATCTGAACAACTACAATTCAAAGAATAGAAATAAGTAGTAATAAAAATTTTAAAAATAGATACAAATAATAATAAAAATGGACTTGGCCCTGGCATTGTTTACTTTAATTATAAGTGCCTCATTGTAATAACTTTCTTTTTATTTATTTTTAAAGTCAAAAAATTATTTTTAAAGTTTTTTTTTTTTTTGGTGTTATTCAACATTATGGAACAAATTTTACATTAACATTAAGCTTAACTTGTAATAAACCCAGTTCCTTTAAGCTGTCTTGAGGCTCCCAGAAGAACTGCCCGAACTGCTGGAGAAAGTTTGCACGTCTCACATCACATGTAGCTCTCTCCACTTCTAAGCCGTCGCAACGGGCAACCTCAAGATCAATGGAATTTTTCATTAGCCTGGGAAAAAGAGACCGCTTGTGATTATTGCCAATAAAGGAAATTAGATGAAATGATTTTTGACTTTGATTTTCTTTCCTCCCTCTTTTCTCCAACCATCCTTTCACATTTAATCAAATGCAAGGTAAAAGTCATCACTGAAATTGCGCCTGATTTATAAATAAGCTAATTGGTGGCATTCTCCCTCTCCTGTCGGTGGACACGGCTGTGTTTTTATTGCCTAGTCAAAACCTCCTCATGTAATTTTCAAAATGGCCCTCGAAATGAAATTTTCCTCCCAGCTTGCGAGGCAGCTCCATCGCTCATACCTTGCCGCAACCACCTTCTTGTCATCTCTTTAGTGCAGCTTTATGTAGCCTGGCTCTCCTGTCCACATCTGTTAGTTAATTCATCCATTGCGAAAACTCTTCCCTTGCACTTTTATGAATGGCTAATCTAATGGAGGTGAACTGTTGAGTGACTGCTCTCATTGATACTCTGTCTTTCTCAGGGACGTTTGGAGAATAATAATGGCACCGTTTCATATTTGGATGGCCATTGATTGCTGCTGAATGCATATTTACTGAAATGGATACGGGATTAGAGCATTGCGTCTGAAACGACAACTTCAAAAGAGTGAACGGAGAATGCTCTGTGGACGTTTATTTTGTGGCTTTAACAGCTTTCTTTGAAGGTTCTTCCATTCAAACCACAATTTACCTATCTGTATTTGACTAACGCTTCCCGAACTTGTTTTCATCTAGATGAAAGTGCAGTCAAAATGCTCAAACACATGCACGCTTGTGTCCTATACCCGGAAATGCTCTTAACACAGTTGAGAAGATAAAGAACCAATGAGAACAGAGGAAAAAAAACGTTTTTGCTTTCTCTTCCGTATAATCATTTATGACCGGTACACAACTAACTCGGAAAAAGTGGGCGGTAGAACTACACCCAACATTGTGGTGAGTCAAGGCGGCCATCTGTTTGTAACTCAGAGAGAAACTCTCTTTACACTTGACTGCCTTTACAGCCCCCTTTGTTTTGAAGTCGATGAGTTCTCCAGCACTTGGTTGGAAGGATCCACGTATATTATAAACATATTGTGGGAAGTTGAGCTAAATCGGTTAGTAGTTCGTCATGTTGTATTGCTTCCCTACACCACAAAGACTTTTGGCTCACCGAAATACACATACAAGTGCCACTTAGGACATCCACTTAATTCAAGTCAATTTAATAATCTGTACTTATTTTATTTATTTATTTTATTTTATTTTATTTTATTGAATTTTATTTTATTTTATTTTATCCAAATGTACCTTGTTACAGAGTAGCAATGTTAAATTATTTGTTTTAAAAAAGGCTGTAAATAAATGAAGATCTTTCTGTAATGGAAGCTTGCATCAGCAGCCTAGTGTTTACTGTTAATGATCTGCTCATTAATCTTTGGACAATTATATTGTATCTTGAACTGCTTTTGTAAATGTTTAGACTTTCTTTTTTTTTTTACTTATTCATACCATACTAAAGGTAGTCCCATATATCTGTCATTTTATAATGCTCACTTAAGGGAGTGCAAGGTATGTTATTTAAAATTTTAGCAGTGCCTTCGCTTCTGCTCCACTGCAAAAAATAATAGTACGTCAGTAAGCATGGGGGAATCTCGCTCTCAAGCAGCTAATTGGCTCGCGTCCATCACACAACCTACAATTAGGACTCGCGGTGCCATGGAGGCAGCGCATGGGCTGTGCAGTCGCAGAGAACGGAGAAAGTGCTTTCTGCATTTTATGGATTGCTTTTGGCAGTGAATTATGTGAAAATGTGACTTGTTTTAACTTCTTTAACTTGTAATAATCGTCGTGGTTGCAAAATACATCAGTCCGGTTGTGTGCTCAACATATTTTAAGACCATGGAGAGAGAAATGCCACATGAGGCCCCTTTTTTCTTTTTTTAAATGTGGTTTTAGTTACCTTTTTTGTTTATTTTGCTCAAACATGTAATGTTCTGACTGGTGTTGCCTATGAATTATTTGCTCCTTATGTTGTTTTTCATTATAGAAATCAACGAAGGTTAGAGGAAAAACATCTTTGAATTAGGAATGTGTTTACAGTCATAGTGTGTTTTTTAATTTTTTAAAATAGTTTTTCCATAGTTTCTCTGATGTTGTTTTATAGGGCTTTTTCCCTTTCGTCATCAGATTCCTCCCTGCACACAAACGTCTCAGGCATTCAGTGCGGTGTGATGATATCCACGCTCCGGCTACTCAAAGCCACGTTCAAACATCAGCTCCAAGGTAATGCACTGTAGCACTGAAGACTATTTATGCAACAAAATGGCCAAGATTGCTTCTTGAGAAATTATGACAAAAGTGACCATGAGTACATGATATGGAGGCTTAACTAATGACCTTATAATAAACCCCTGCAGTTGTCCAGAGCTCACAATAGACTCAGAGCCACCTGAGAAGATTGTCAATGTGGCAGGACCACAACAGTCCCTGGAGCCGATGAGTGTCACACCACGTCAGGAGACGTTGCAGATTCAGCCCATGTCTCGTCCATGTGGCGATGAGAGAGGGAATCTTCAGCCACTCCACGTAGTCTGGCCACATCGCTGGTAGGACCTTCATGATAACATTAGAAACATTTATTCATCAAGAGTTCATTTAACATGCATTTATTTATAGAAATTTTGATTTAACAAAATACTTTTAATATTTCACTCGTTCTTTTCATTATCTTTTTTTTTTTAACTGACCGATTCTTCATTTATAATTATAAGGAGTTTTAGTTTCTTCAACTTTGTGCACTTTAGATCTTGTTGACTTGCAATATATATATATATAAACATATACATATATAAACATATACATATATGCATATACATATACATACAATGTGTTAAAACAAACACTCCCACATCATTTGAGTTTGATAACATTCTGTGGTTGAATGACAGAACTTTTTTGGCATAAAATAGATGACTCTTTGTTATGCTAATGCTAATTTCATATCTTGCATTTTTTCATACTTGAATGCACACAAATTTCAGACTTTTATGAATTTGTTTAAAAATGCATTTTCACACAGTAAATATTTAAATTGTTTAAAATTATTTCTCTCTGTTTATAAATCACAGAGTTTAAAAATATTATTTTTCCATTAACTTTTGTAAGATTAAAAATCTGAGATAAGGGTATAACAATAAAATGCATCTGAAAAGTTGCAAAAAATAAATGACTAAGGCATCATAAATAGTTTCTATGTTTTAAGTGATATTTAACAAAAAAAAAGTCCTGTTTGTTTTAATAAAAATCAATCCATCATTCCAACATAAAAGTGCCTATAGTTGAAGTGACACTATATCATACAATTGTAGAAACAGCAGAATTCTAGAAAAAAAAATTCTAGATGACTGTTGATCATTTTCATGCAGAAATATTTTTTGATCCATAGTTGTTTGTTTTTTTTACTTTTATTGTTCCCACTAAACTATGCACTCACACAGAAATGCAATTTGAGGACCTTGTTTCTCAGCAGACTTCAAACATGTGCGCCATGAAAGCGCCTCAAACATTAACCTGTAATACAACTGTGAGTTATTTGCTTTGGACTGTCCATGGAATTGTTTGACAGTACGGCAGAGGCATGGAAAATGGATAACATGCTTGTTTTGGTACAACATGCATAGATAGACCACTGGTTCGAAGCAGTCCTAAGCGTGTAACGTGGCCACCGACCCCCTGGATGCTTGTGTAATATATTTCAGCATCATCTCATTGATTCCCAAATTCAGTCTTGGCGAAAGCCACTGTTAGAATATTATCAGTGACATCGGTGTTTGATTCCTTTCAAAAAAAGTTTGAAAAGTTTGTACGAACAGAACCTCAACTGCAGAGACGGCAACAGAAGAAAATGTCTGTGTCGCTGAGTTTTGTTCACAGGGGCCAATGGGGGAGGGATGAGAAAATATTTTATTGCCCGCAGGATTGCTCTGTGGTTTTTGTTGAAGTTTAAATATCTTCCACTCCCCATATTTTAGACCTCGTCTTGGCATGAGTGGAAACCAAACAGCATTGTATCTCTACCTCATCTGCCATGGGCTGAGAAAAAAAGAAAAAAAAAAAGTAACTGTTGCTCAAGCCACATATTTCTCCCATGACTCTTTGCTCATCTCTTGGCAGCAACGACATGTTTCCTTACCAAAAAACACCCATAAATCAGATTAACAACCGAAAAGACCACCGGTGTCGAAGTTTGATGCTGGCACAGGGATTTTGTGATGTTTGTTTGTGTTATGTATCTGTCATTCACCTAATCTTGTATCAGTAACAAAAGCGGCCATTGTGTAATCTCTTCAAAACTGAGCAAAACACAGATGGATTAGCGCTGTTAACATCCGTGCCTCGTAAACGTTGGCTTTGGTCCGAGTTAAATTGGGATTTACACAGGGCGAGAGCTGCTGGAAAAATAAGAAGGGGTTTGGATTATCTCTGACAGTGTGTCCCATTTCATCCTTTTTCCTTTTTTTCCAGCCTCTCTTTTTGTCATCATCACTGGTTGCAGATTGTTAATCTCCATGTGGCCTGGATAGGTCTTCATCCGTTGGATTACAGGACTGTCTTATTGCAGGCGCTGACCGGGGCATGTGGTCAAAGAGGGCAGCTGTTTGCAGGTGCATGTGATGAGGGCTTAAATTTGCTTCCGAAAAGCCCATTTACCTAAGAGGGCAACCTTGTTTTTCAACCTTGTTCTTTCAAAAAAAAAAAAGAAAAAATGCAGAGAAGACAGTGACTATAGTACACCATCAGACAGTCACATGGCCTGGCATGGGCTTTCTCTCTGCTGGACCTTTGTCTTTCAGGCGATCATTCTCCGCAATTACGCAATGTTTTGTTATTTTTTCTTCTGTGGCTTGTCTTGAAATCCAGACACATTTGTGCATCTCTCGTTCCTCCCAGACTGTGCAGCAGGCACTAATGACCAAGTAAAAACGACGCAGGCACTGACGCATCACCACGCTGTGCTGGCAAGCATCATGACTGGTTCCACAACTCCTCCTGCGCCCTGCTCATCGCCAGAGCCGTGCCGCCGAGACCCCCATTAGAGAAGGATAGCGCTTGGAAGGACATGATATGTTGGAATCTTGAAAACGGCACAAAGGATTTAAACCCGACTTGCGAGCGAAGGCAGAATTCCAGAAAATGTTTGACTTTTGATGTTTGCACACAATTAAAACTAATGAATCAGGGTCATGTTAGAGTAGAGAAGTGGAAAACAAGTCGTTTACTGACAGTCAGAATGTAACCAAAGACATCAGCCCATACATTTTCACATCCATTCATGTATAGTTAGTCCCTTATTAGGATCCCAGCACGCACCCGTCCCTGTGGAGGAGCGGCAAGAATAGTCGACACGGTCATGGTTTGTTTTGTCTTGTTTTACCGGAGGCTTTGCCTCTGCTATTTTCAGCTGACCCTAATCAATCCCCAGATAACCGAATCCTGGGCTTTCAAGAGCCCCATTAATTAGCCCTTTCGCTTCCTTCTGATTTGAATCCTTTAACGTCATGCTTTTGCAGTAAATAGAGTTTGAATTTTAAAACATGCACCTCATGGGTGCGACTTAAAGGGGAATATTTAATCATAGCTGTCTAAATGAGAGGATCATATTCTTTTAAGTGGTACCGGATGACTGCTAATGAGGATTCGCAGGGTCCCTGCAGAAACCTTTTTTTCGTATTTGTTTTATTTGGTTTCTGTCTCATTGCACTCGGAGGTCAAAGGGTAAGAAAAACCCCCATTTTAGTATTGGGAAATAAGACATATTTATGACTTTAAAAAACAAATAAAAACTTTTGGACATTTATACTACCGATCAAAAGTTTAGGATAAGTAAGATTTGATTTGATTTATTCATTTTTTTAAATAAAATAAATAGTTTTTAATAAGCAAGGATGCAGTAAATTGTCAAAAATAGAAAGTGACAGTAAATAAATGTTTAATGTTACAAAACTATATTTAACTTTTGAACTTTCTATTCATCAAAGAATCCTGAAAAAAGTATCACAGCTTGAGCACCAAATCAGCATGTTAGCTTTTTTTGCCATTACAGGAATACAATTTAAAAATATATTAAAACAGAAAAGTTATTTTAAATATTTCACAATATTACTGTTTTACTGTATTTTTGATCAAATAAATGCAGCCTTAAGAGACTTCTTTCTAAATGAAGCATTGCCAGTGACCGCTGTGAAGCTGCTTTTACAGACCCTAACACTTTTGAATGGTAGTGTGTGTACAATTTAATTTAATTCAGTTAAATGTTTAAATAACTGTATAATATATTTAATACATATTTTATAATAAATAAAGTAAATACATTTATTTATTTTATTATGTATGCTGCTTAGAAAGTTACATCTGGATTGTTTTTCTGATTGTTTTCCCCTAACAGTATCATGTCCCCAAACTTTATTTGGGTCATCCGTAAGTTTGCCATCCATCATTAACATCTGCATTTAAAATGCCCCTTAAGTGTAGCTCCTAGAAATGCGTCTAATAATTAATCACTAATATGTTTGTGTTGTATACTTATTAATCTGCATTAATGCCGAGTGCATGTTAGTGAACTCATGTTTGCGTGCATCTGTTCGGGTCTCCTCTCTTCCAGTTTTAGCTTGAGAGGCATGTTGAGCCCCAGCAATCCCTGCATAACATAAGTGACATATTAATTAACCCTCCGCTATGCTGTCAGTAGGAAATAAGGCATCACGGCCACATGAAGGCTGTTTTAGTTACTAGACTGACAGGCCGGGTAATAGGCATCCCTGCATTCGCCATGTCACCTCCCCGCAGGTCAACCAGTCTTAGTCCAGAGGAGGTAGCAATCACATCCACAATGTAGCGAATCAAAGAGGCTGCAAAATTAATGAGGGAATCAACGTCAAGCCATGGGGGAAAGGCAACATAAAAGAACCGGAAATGAGATGAAATAAGCCCTCACTAATACCTCATCTAAGGAGATTCCACCCAAGTGGGAGGTGTCTTTTGTCAAAGCGCTTCTGCCCCGGTAATTGTTTTTGACCTTCAACATCGTCATTTTTGTGAAGAGAGCTCTTTCTCAGACCGTATACAGAACGGCAGTGCTGACGAGCTCAGAGATTTGTCAAAGCCTCTTTTGTGCGACGTGTATGAGCTCTGTAAGGCCGTTGTTCAGTAACATACCTCCGCTTTATCAAGAGGATGAGCCGCATGGATCACCACTCGACTGTCAGGGTTTTGAAAAGGACTTCAGGCCCGCAGTTTGGGCCAAAGAGAAGGATTTCAAACCCGTGCGTTGAGGGTCGTTGTATTCAGAGGGAAGCTTCTTCATCAGATGTGTTGTTAGCATGTAGGTTATGAATGCTAGTCTTTTTGACTGCAGAATAAAATTGGGGCTGTGTCTCGCAGTGGATGAAATGCACTGAGGGGTTTGTGCACCTACTTTTTTAATAGAAAGATTGTGGTCAGTTGATGGAAAGTGTGTTATTTCTGCCCTAACATTTTAGGCACACTTTATCAAAACCTAAAATAATCATGAAGCTCAATTAACAATCAACAATACAAATTTGTAATTTATTTATTTTTATTTTATTTTATACATGTACATATGACTGGGAAAGAATACTCACTGAGTTTCTCATAGTCTTCTCATTTAAATAGCATTTAATAAAACATTATTTGAAGTACTCTTAATTTAATCTTATTAAAACCTGTAAAGTGTGCTTTGGATTTAAAGGCACACTTCAGAGTGAACTATTTTTGAGGTAATGAAGCATTGCCAGTGATCGCTGTGAAGCTGCTCACCAGATCTCTTGGCTAGGCTCAGAACTTTAATGGAAGCACACCAGCAATCAGCGGCCTGGCTGGATCACAGTGACAGAACATGTGGCCTCAGCTTCAGATGTGTAATTAAGGTATACGAGCTGGGATTCGAAGAGGAACTTTCAGAACTCTTACCACGCACCTCAAATCTAAATAAGTGTATTAGCATTTCCATTTGTATAAACGTTTCTGAGAAGTCAAAATTGAAAATGTCAAACACTGACATTTCATCAGAGTTCGTTTTATCACATCACAGATTTTTACCTTTTCTCAGTATGTTTTGTGTTATTTCCACAATAACATCTGAACATATGGGTAAACATACAAAAGTTGAAAGTCATTTAAAAAAAAAAAGTGGCCTTCTGGCTACAAAATCTGTGTGGATATTTTTGGGTTGCAAAAATAAAAACATGAGTTAAATAAAGATACTTATTTTACTTTTTGTCAAAGCTAAAGTTCACTTATTAACAGGGTTGCCAGGTCTGTGAAACAATACTAGCCTATTTTTTTTCCATGGTTTTCCTCTCCATCCGGGGTCCCCTCCATCAAAATTGCTTTCTGAGGGGGAAGAGATCCCTTTAACCATCAAACTAAAAAACAGGCTGCATCAACAGTAGCTGTGTTTCCATTCACCTATTTTTATGCGCATTTTGGAATATCGCATAAAAAAAACGCTAGATGGAAATGCCAAGATGCACATAAATTCTAAAAATGCACATAAAAAATTAGCGATTATTGAGTTATTGAGTAGGATAAACTTTTTATCCAATAAGAAAAAATTAGCATAAACTATGATGGAAACATTTACCGTATAAATTCCTTCATGCGCATCGAAAAAGTCATGTGACTTTGCGCTTTGAGACGGGATAACTTGTCTAGCAGCGGACCGATCGCGTTCACAGCATCTATATGTTGTTATGGTCATTCTGAAATGCCTGAGCAAAGTCTGTGGTCAAAGTATTTCTGTATAATTGTCTTACATGACTACGCTCCCAAACGGCAGCGTCCACCTCCAAAAGCATTGACAGCATTTATTGTTACGTCTGCTCGATCTGAGGTGCTAGTAATTTATGTCATATATGAAAATTATTATATTCAGTGGCTTCTCTTAGTGATATTTAGTGCCACAGTTGACCAGGAAGTGACGATTTTGTTCTCTTTGACTCGTTGGATGGAAATGGTGCTTTATTCGCATATGTTTTATGTGCAGGGCTGTCCTTAGGGGGGTACAACTGGTGGGGCTCCACGGCGAACGGACTGAGGGGGATGGACCCTCGGCCCCCACAACTAGCTAGTGTAAAAGTACCCCAATTCTAGGGGGAAAAAATGCAGACTTGTCAACACTGCTTACTAAACAAAACTCTCTCTATATATTCAGCTTCACATTAAAATAGTTTTATTTATAATTGTATTTGTTGAGATCACCACAACCTTCAAGAAACAGCTGAGGATGCTTCCATTTACACCTTAAGTTAATCATAAACCTAAACCTAGACATGTCTTATGTAAAAGGAAAAAAAAATATCTTCTGTTTTTTTTAAGTTGTGCTCTTATCTTACTTGGTATTGACATACTATGCATATTGTTGATATAAATACTCTCTTTTGGTAATATTTTTGTGACTTTCCTGCTGCTAATTACTTTGTAATTAAACTATTGTTTCCAAATGTGAAATAGTGTTTTGTTTCTGCTGTGTCTCTGTCTGGCTAAAGGGAACATGACAAAGACCCACAGCTGTTCTTCCAGACCTTACTGAAACTCAAAGAACGACAGCTGAGCTTTGAAGTTTCTGTCCTGGGAGAGACCTTCACTGATGTTCCAGGTACATCATGTGCTGTGGGGATTAGAGATGGGGATATAATTAAACAATTATAATGTGATATTGCTTTTATTCAACAGTTCTTTCAGACAAAATATTCCAGTTACTTAGCCATATCATTTTTTCTTCACCAGAGTCTGCTTGCTTTCTTTATTTATTTATTTACTTACTTACCTTTCTGTTCCTACTTTTTTATATTTAGAATGATTTGGTTGGTTGACACCTCTGATGTCATGCACAAAAGTAATTACATGTTTAACTTTGAAACAAATTTGTTAAGTACATCGCTTTAGGTTCAAAGATCATCTGTTTATTGCACACAGGCATTATTTTCATTGGCGAAATACACTCCCCATTAGTGGACAATTATGTTTTAATATCTTTCGGACAGTCTTGAGTATTTATGGCGTTGTGTTCATTTCATTTATGTGCCCACACAGTCTAACGCTGCCAAAGCTAGACTTACAGGAAACACAATCTCTTATATTGAGATGCAAACTTTTATCACGGCATAAACAGCTGCAGGACCAAAAGAAATAAACAGATCGTAAAGGTTGCTCATGTTATGAAATTAGGTTTACGATTGCTCGGAAGGCAATCACACTGAAACGGTTTTAATCTATTTTGATTTTGCTAATAGAATCACATTATTGATTATTTGTGCCCTTCTCTGTTTTATGTCCAAATGTATGACGACCTTGCTTATTTTATCTCCTCACAAAATATGACCCAAACTTTAAACATCCCTCTCTTCGCTAATCTCTACACATCGATATTGAGGCTTCTGTCCCTTTCTCCGTTCCTTCCCACTATAGACATCTTTTTAGAAGCCAAAGAACAGTTGGTTGACCACATCCAGCACTGGGGTTTCATGCCCAGTAAGGAAGATTACCTCAAAGCGCTGTGCCAAGCAGATGTCGTCGTTTCCACGGCCAAGCACGAGTTTTTCGGAGTAGCAATGTGAGTTTCATCTGCTGTCTGTCACAGAAATATGTTCTCTCCAAACAGAAAGGCACCAAAATGGTTTATTTATGTTAATGTATTAGCAGAAGTTTCGTTTGCTGTTTTTATGAAATTTCGAAAAAACTTTTGGTGAATTTAGTCATTCGTATTAGTAAATTACCACATACTTCATAGTAACTTCTGTTTGTTTCATAATGTGGATGCAGAAAGTCTTTTCCATCATGTCACATTTTAACGTGAGGATTACCTTGAGCATGTAAATCTCCAAAGCCCAAACAGGCCCAAAAAAAGTTCATGGTGTAATTGAAAGGTTGCGTTCAATCCCAGAGGCCTGTCCTCTCTATCTGGGGGGTGTTTCACTGTCAGGAGGGTACTGCATGTGTTTTGGAGGGACCTTTGAAAGCACCACCCTTGATGTGTTCAGCATCGCCTGGATCAGTATCTTCAGTCACCTGTGCTTGACTTTTGAAGAGTTTGTTTGATAATGCCCAGGGCCAAGGTAGCACTGATCCCAAGTGCACTAGCAGGGGCTCGTTCTACACTGGGGATTTCACTCATCCTTGTTCTGTAGACTAAATGTATACATCCTTTTAGATGACAGCATTGATGAATTTTCTTCGATTGCATGGAAACATCCTTTGCTTTGCGGGGTAACGGTTTAGACACGCGCTCCCTCTGGGACTCGTACTACATACGGCTGAGGTTGTTCTCGATTTCATTAGATTAAAGTCCAGTGGAGAGGAGGAATAAGGAGACTCCTCAGCTGTGTGTGTTTTACGTTTATGTCCTCAGGCAATGTGTGTGTTCAAACACTGATCAAACACCTGCTGTCGGCTTTTCTTAAAGGGGTCATATGATGCTGCTAAAAAGTACATTATTTTGTGTATTTGGTGTAATGAAATGTGTTTATGCGGTTTAAAGTTTAATAAACATTATTTTCCACATACTGTACATTATTGTTTCTCCACTATAACTGCCGGCATTTTAGTCTAACGTTACTCTCCCAGGATCAGTAAACAGTCCTCCATAAAATGTGCTGCATACATCTGAATATTTGGGTTAAACTGTTCTGGAACAGTGTTGTAAATACAACTTAACCACTGATTTGTAGCCGTGTCCTCTTTTGGAAGACCAAACAAAGTAGTTTCGCTTTCACAACGAAAAACACTGCGGCCTAGCGTGAGCGAAATCCACGGCTTAGCGTGAGCTGAGGCCGGGCAAGAGTGAGCAAAGGCGACGGGGTCGAGAACGGCGCGCCCGGCGGATTCGACGAAGGAGCGGCAACCACATGTGACGACCCCGGGCTTCGTCCACGGTGAAAGCCGATCCGGTGATCCACAGCACTAAGTTGATGTATTTCCTCAGCGACCAACACAGATCAGCTCTAGGCATGACGAAGCGGATATCGTCCTCTTTTGGAAGACCAAACGAGGTAGTTTCACTTTCACAACGAAGCACACAGCGTCTTCACGACATGGCGGCAGCGGCAACAATACTACAGTGAGAATAAAAGTTACGCCGCCTTTCTTTGCGTGAACATTTGGGCAGTGTTATGCAAATCTTCCCACATAGTGAGGTAGATATGTGGGGGCGTGTTAGAACGAGCCGTTTTAGGTAGGTGTGGCTGACTCTTAACTTTTATAAAGAATATATCTTTGGATTTGAGACTTTAGTCTTTGCAACTTTACAGATCTTCTTTATGCACCAAGAGCTTGTAACACTCCAAAGAGAAAGGAAAAATTGAAATCGCATCATATGACCCCTTTAATAATGGTTAACTTCCAAAAAACATCTCATTTGAGTAATTAAGGCTATGATGTTCCTTAACTATGAGCACACCATAGTTAGAGAATTGTCTTTTTTATGTACGTAATGAAAACACTTTAGATTAGGAAACACTATTCACTATTAACTAGTAGCATATTGGCTGTTTATTTGTACTTAAAAAACACTTATTCTGTATGACTCTATTCTAGATCCATTAACCCGACCCAAACAAAACTTACCTTACTTACTATCAACTTAGGAGTTTGAGGAAAAACTCTTAGTTAATAGTGAATGTGTTCCCTATTCTAAAGTGTTACTGAAAATTCTCACGTATCTTCTAACATTATGGGATGATTTTTTTTTTTTTTAAATGTCTATTGCTAATAGCTAGTTTATTATATATCATAAATACATACAATTGAATTCACAGTTCACAATTGCATTGTTGAACAGCTTTAATTACAGCTTCGTGTGAAATCGTGTACAATGAAATAATTTATTAGATTTATTACATTAAATATTTGGATACATTTTATGATAGATTTTAATATAAGTCTGGGACAAGGGTAAAACAATAAAATCTTTACATAATACATTTGAAAAGTATTTAAAAAATAACTGATGAAGAAATGATAAAAAGTTTGAGATGTTTTAATGTGGCCTTCATATAAATAAAAAAAAAAAGAGAAAAGTTCAAATCTGTTCTTTTTAATAAAAATCAGCCCCTAGGACATAAAAGTGCCTGGAGTTGAAGAAACATCCACTTTCTAAATCAATTTTGCTACAAAGAACTGATGACATGAGAAAGAGGCCGTAAGACCTCGGAACTCGAATCACCTGCTCAAATGCTTTTGCCAATCAGTCCTGGCTTCTCATTGTCAACTCTGCCACGCAAGGGGAATTTTTTTCCACCGTGTTCTGTCCTCGTTATTGTGGAAATTAGCCTAATCTGATTAATTGTCAGCAGACGCCCATCCGTGCCCTCCAGAAAAACAGTAAGGCAGCCAAGCAGAATGATCGCCTAATTATATTTGAGATGAAAAGCCTGATAAGCATTTGCACGCTCACACATTAACTGCATTGACATGGAACTGACCTTAAATCAGTTTCATACGACGGGCTGTGTCATAGACTCCAGCCGAGCGACTTTGATTTACTGTGTTCACTGTGAATTTGATCAGGGAAGGGGATGTTGACGTTGCAGAGTAGGTAATACTACACTAAACCTTCACTTTCTGGTGTTTGCTCAAGGACGGTGACTGTTGTGCTTTTGTTTTGCTTTTTCCTTTGTAGAGAAATTATAGGTGATGTGTTCTTTTTTTGTTTTTCTTCCAACTGGTTTATAATTTGTTGGAATAAAGAGATGTGAATAAAAGTGGTTGTTTTATTGCTTTTGTGCGAATAGAGAATGCATTGGACTTTTTAGCATGTGTCTGCTGGCAGGTGATGACTAGATTATTCAGAATACAGGGGTATCACGATCTGTTTTTAAAAGTTTAACTAATTTTAACTTAACATGACATTTTAAAAATGAAGATTTATCACATGTGAAAACATTTAAACAAAGGTGCAGACAGATGCAAGAAAGCATGTGAGGTCAGGTATGTTGCCCACCTTTAACCAAAACTGCTTGATCATCCATGATTCCTGCAACTGCAGGATTGTGCTCAAAAAAAGAAAGAAAGAAATATATATGCTTTGTTTTCCTATGTCACAGAGCTGAAGGTTTAGCATTCTATAAGCGACCATTAAATATGTAACACTACAAACCACTTTGAAACGCAACTTTGCAATTCTGAGACGTTTTCCAAATCCACAGGATTGTTCGAGGAGATTTGTCCCAATGCTCAATCAGAATTTTGAAATTTCAGCCGTGAATGGCAGAGGGCTAATCGGATATTAAAATATGCATGGTTTTAGCATGGGAAATGAGATGAGGATCTGATGGTGAAGGGAGAGATGGATAGACTCATTAAATATTAATACTCATTCTACAAAATATTTAAACAGCCGGTCATTTCCACTGCCAGCAATAGGGGTTCAAATGAGTTGAATCAGTTGGGAGCAAAGTTTGCCCTAGATTGAACTATTTGATGAACTAAAAGCATGAGATAGTGTGTAAAAATATGCCATAGTTATGAGGTAGCTTTACAAGAATGCATTAGGTATTTGAGTTAGTAAAATGATTTGAAATGCTTTGATCTGCTGTGTGTAACGGTTGATATTGATCAAGGTGTAGTACAAGGTGCCACTTTATCCGGCGGGTGGTAGGTTGGAAAAATAACCTTCCCTCATCCAGTTACGGTGACTTTCTTCAGTAATGGCAACTCTTTTGGTTTGTAGTCAGCTTTATAGCGCTGAACTTCCATGGTGCTGTTTTAGAAATTGCTAATTGGGGAAATGCATCCAAGTCATTTCAATACATTTAGTCAATACTGTACACTATGGAACTGAATCTTAAATGACATAAATCTTCTCTTTCAGGTTAGAAGCGGTCCATTGTGGTTGTTACCCTCTGTGTCCGAAGGCTTTGGTCTATCCTGAAATATTCCCTGGTAAAAATGTTCATGATTTGCCTAGCTCAATTTCATATGCAAAAGAAGATTTATTGTCACAGGCAAAGCTGCTATGTTCAACTTCTGTGTATAATGACGTATTCATCTTAAAGCACAGTTGAAGAATTTGCCATAAACCATTCTGGAATTTGTATATAAATAAGTAAATATAACCACAGTTCAATAATGTACAGCATCACGCAGCATGGTGTCAGCTGAATTTTTTATGCTGAAAGTGCCTGCGATCTCATCTGCTCTTTGAGGTTTCTGACTTATCAAATATGTATTTTCCTCTTGCAGCAACATATCTGTATTCAACACCTGAACAGCTGTGTAAAAGACTACAAGACTTCTGCAAGCGTCCGCAATTAGTCAGACACCATGTTACGCAGGTAAACAATGCTAATTTTTCTGGGAATCAAATCAACCGCAAAGACTCCTACAGAGAATTCTAACATGTTTAGTGCTTTTTAGTCATAAAATACTGTGAATAAACATTCACCCACGATGCTTATACATGACTAGTAATCAAAAATCTAAAAATGTAGCCTAAATTCTTTTGTGCTATGAAGATGTACTACAAATCAGTTAAGATGAGCTCTTTATTCCATTGTAGAGGTACAGCAAGATCAATAAAAGCCATTAACTGGTGGGCCGCAAGTCTGATAGAGAAAAAAAAGCAATGCTACACACAAATATTCAACTCTAACTCTATAATTTAAAAAAAAATGAAATTATTAAAATTTCCATCCTGAAGCAAACCCATTTGAGAGCCACTGCTCAACTAGTCATAAAACAATAGAATTCCAATTCTGTCACTGTTCTCTGCTTTTCCCATCTCTTTCCCCTTTACTCTCTGACTCTCTTTTTCCTAGGTGAACCTCCACGCTTTCTCCTGGGACACTCTGGGGGACAGTTTCAGATCTCTCCTGGGAGCCGACTGTGACAGGATGTTAACAGAGGAGCACATGTCATGACGTGACCCCCAAGAAATACATTATGATTTAATCTCCAGCCTCATTGTGAAAGAGTGTTTATGACCCGTAAAATCCTCTCTACCTCTCGGCTATTATTTAGGAAAAACCTGTATATGTGATTTTAATGTTCTCATGCCGGAAAAAAGCAACTTTATATTTGTGGTTAATGGAAAAAAAGAACAATCAAAAAACCTGAAACCGCTTTCGTGTTGCGCCTAGGCGGGCCCACCTCATATTTCGGTTCATATCCATTTTTATCCTTTGTGCCGGAGGACTCCAGCCTGGAATTCTGGAGTCTTTGGTTCCCACTCCGACAGAGCGGCAGCCAAGTTGCGGCTTGAAATGTTGTGGGCTCTCGCTCCACCTGAGGTTGCCAGGTTGTGACAAAGTCCCCCGAGGCTCAGTAAAGGTTGATGCAAGGCTTCCCCATGACTGTGGCTGAATCTAAATATGGTTATTTTATTTTCCTTGCGTCGGAGATCTGGCTGTACGTTGTAACCGGGAACCCGCTGCATAATTAAGGGGGCATGGTAACTAGCTATTTATATGTTTTTGCAAAATGTAAAATCTGGGCAAACTAACAATGGCCTGTCAGATTTTCCATTAAGATGTAAGTGTCTGCTTTCACATCACAGCAATGCCACAATCACACGGCCCACTTCAGGCCTGCCAACATATGTGTTATTAAAAGAGGTCTGACTTTTATTGCAAGAGTTATTGAAGGATTCCTCCTTTATTATCAGACATTCTCGCAATAAAGCTGCGGACTTTCTGACGTTATTATTTCAGATGCATCGATTATTCAGGTGCGTCGGACGGAGGATTCAAATTAAAGGCTCAAATAGAATCACGTCGCCGTCTCCTCGCACGCGTCCAAGATTAGTCTCATTACTCCTCATTAAGTAGCAGTGCTTCCTTTACAGCTCATAGAAAAATAGTCCTAATATCCTACCTCCATATGTAATGTATTTCATATTTTAGAGAGTCAGTGAGATACTTTTGTGTGCCGTATGATATTTAGCATGAGTTATCAAAGCATTATCGCTTTGGATTTGCCTCTTTTTGTTCATCCTTGTGTTATTTATAAGGAGCATATGGATGCGATTGACCTGTTTCCACCTTATCCCACAATGTCAGATGAATTTGCCATCTACTCCGGGCCGACCTGAGGTCAGGACCTAATGACGCCATAAAGCCTATAACCTGCTGTTTCGGCACAAAATGTCACCCCACATATTAAAAGTTAATAGCAACCTCTATAAAACTCAGTGCACATTAAACCATTTCATTGGCCTGTTGCTGTTTTCTCACTGATGGTGTTCTAGGGATATGAAGCTAATTTAATGCCGGCCGAATTCGATGGCAAAACAAATGTGCGGTCCTCTTAATTTTTCTTCTCCAGTTCATGTTTGGTGTCCCACTGGAGTAGCACAGAGCTTGGAGAGCTGCCATTCACATAATATGACTACATTTGTAGATATTTTAATATCTGACTGGGGAATCACTAAAGTGAATTTGATCTGATACAACTTCAGGTATAAGTCCTCATCTGTTTAAGGTCAGCTTTGAGTTTATATATGATATTCAGACCTTTACCAGATAATGGTATCTCAATTATTAGATACTTGGAAGTGAAGGTAAGATTACTTTTAGCATTCTCTCAAGCATTTCATCATTTCGAAGCTCATTGCTGTAACCAGAACAGAATTTAGAGCTGCGACTCACTGCAAATGAAACGACACAGAATCATCACAGCCTCATCTGAAACCAGCAAAAGGATTTAGGAAATGGAAAATGGAAATGGCACTTTAATGAGAACCCTCAAGTTCTGACTTGAGCAAAATTTAGTGGTCACAGTACAGTTTGAGCATGATTGTCACCAAACTAGGGAGTTATTTTTTCATAAGCATTAATGTATTTATTTTAATGGTTTTCTAATAACTGTTTAATAAAGGGAATAATCTTATTTCAAACGTCTACCCTGTAAGTCAAGAGGGTAGTTTTTTTTGTTTTTTTTGTAAATTTGTTTGTAATATATATCACATTATATTGGGTGAATTTCACTAGATTGAAATTTAGTGTCCCATATCCATTTTTATATATATATATTTTTTTTATTCTACAGTTGTCAGAATAAATATTCCTTTAATAATAAGAAGAAGAAGAAGAAGAACTGTGTTATTACTATATATTATATTTTAAATAGTTTACTTTCTAAAGCAAGGGAAGTACTTTAAAGGGTTTGTAAATGATTTGTTGGGAGTGGACTGATAAAAAAAAAAAAAGCTTTTATTTTCTCTTTGTGTGCTGCTTGATGCCAGTTTATTTATTTTAGTATTTTTTTCACACCAGCTCATGTTGTGGCACGCTGTCCAATTATACCATTACCAAGGGGGAAGTGTGTACTACTGTTTGTGGTCGTACAGTACGGTTGTGTGATTTTATCATTTGTTTATTTCTGAACACAGGATGAGAAAGAGGCCCTGAATGAACTAACAGGTAGAATGCGTCTCCTTTTTTCACTCTGAGTTCATATAACATTGCCCTGATCCCTGATCTTAAAGGAAGACTGGAGGAACGGATAAGCGAGAGAGAGAGACATAGTTGTCCTCGTGCGACTCAGTCATATGCTATCAATATGCTGCCATGTTCTGTTGGAGCCCAGGCTGTTTTTAATGGGGCCTGGTGGTTAGAACATGGCAGGCATCTCAGACAGCTTTTTTCCCTTAATAAATGAAATCATAATTTCAAAACTGCAGTTTGTATTTACTCAGGTTATCTTTGTGTAATATTAAAATTTGTTTGATGATCTGAATATTTTAAGTGTGACAAATATGCAAACAATAAAAAAAACAGGACTTTTTCACACCACTGTATGTATATATACATACATGCATGTGTTTGCATTTATATATACATAATAAATATACACAGTACACAAACGCATAGTATGTGAACAAAAACTTATTTTGGATGCGATTAATCATTTGACAGCACTAATATATATACTATATATATATATATATATATATAATAATAACACACTGCCATTCAAAAGTTTTGTCAGTGAGTTTTTTAAAGAAATTACTTTTATTTAGCTAGAATGCATTATGCATAAATGTTTCTTGAGCAGCAAATCTGTATATTAGAATGATTTCTGAGGGATCATGTGACACTGAAGACTGGATTTGACAGAAAATTCAGCTTTGCCATCACAGGAATAAATTACATTTTAAAATATATTAAAATAGAAAACATTTAAATTGCAATCATATTCTTCAATATCACTGTATTTTTACTGTATTTTTATAATTTAAAAAAATGAGACGTTTAAAAAATCTACCCTGAAAGGTAGTGTATATATTTTAAATTTATATTGGCAAGGTCAAAATCTGTGCAGCAAACAAACTGTGTAAAATACTGAAATGTTTTTTTTTTAGATTTAGTCACTTCACACCACATTCCAAACACTCAAAATGCACCACACCTTTTCACAAGCCAATTTGATGGGAGACGTTAATTTTGCACATATTAATGAGCTAAGCACCACCTGCAGTACGACGGCTCTCAAAGTGTGAGCTGTGTTGCACAAAGCCCAGTGTCATGTGACCATGGGCTCTAGCACAGAATAAATCTGGGCGTTCGCTTCATGTACACAGCAAATATCTGCCAATATTCTCCCCTGGGTTACTTACCACTTCAGTCCATCCACCCACACATTTTGATTTCTTGTTATTTGAAGCATTTAATGCAAGAATGAATTCTACAGCATGGCCTCTCGGCTCTGCTTGGGCAGCTGATGTTCAGTGCCTACTTTTGACCAAGACGGTGTGAAATAAAACACCGCAGTGTACCGCTATCATGACATAAGTACAATTCTGATGAGACATTTTGATTTTAGTCCCATACAGTGCAAACAAACCAGTTTTTTCTCTCCTCCTAACAAAACCACAGACAGGAATGTCTATAATTGGGTATATTGGATAAGTATGTTTTTAAATATATCAATTACAAATATATATATATATATATATAATAAAAAAAGTTTTTATTTGTTATTCAAATGTCATTTAAAAGACAATTTCCATCTCAATAGAGCAGTGTACATCACAGGGTGGATTTAAAGTAAGGCTTTGTCTGCATTAGAATCATAATCATGGCTGTCTGCTCTTTTTTATTGTCCTTTAATACTTCTAGGCTGCATTTCTTAATTTTTTTTTTTTCTTCTGGATTTTCTTGTCTAGCATTGAAGTAAGCGAGCTTGTCTGGCATGTTAAACTTGTTTTAGGTGTCAAAACGTAACGACAAACTAAGCCACCACGTTCAATACAGGATCCAAGCTCTCTGTAAACTTTTTGTGGTTGGAGAAAAAAACAAGTATGTGTGTATCTTTTCAAAGGTTTGGCCTGCCGAACTCGTTAAGGTCCCTGAGTGAAGTGCAGCTGTGCCAGAGAGGTCACTAAAAGCTGCATCTCATTTCACTGCGTTATTTTCAGTCGAGATTTAGAGAGACGCACAACCCGCAAATCTGGTTTATGTCGCCCTCCTGTTCCTCCAGTACCCCTTCATCATTACTGCTCGAGATGCCAAACTATGAGGGATCTGATGCAGGGAAAAAGCTACAAGGAGGGATGGCTCTTCCCGTAATTACAGACTCTCTCTTATCTCTGGGATGGAATTAAAAACACATTCCATGCAGACAGTCTCAGCACTGGCCTGCGGGAAGCAAATAAAAAGAGACTGCTGTTCGAGAATTGGAGAGGACTTTGGCAGTTTGATTAGAAACCGATGTGATCACGCTGTACGTTATCTGACAATGCAAAAGGCCCACAGAGTGACAGAGTTTATGAAGGAGGCTGCAGGAAGAAGAGCAGAAAATGCAATGCAATATAAGGCATGTCATTGTTTTTTTGTTTTTTTTACTTTTTTCAAAAACAAAATAATTGTACAAATTTTGCTTACAATAAAAAAAAAAATAATACATGTACATCTACCATTAATAAAACACAACATCACAATATAATACAAAGCAAATACCTGTTGCAACAGACTGCAAGTATGTGCTGCCAGAAAATAATCACAAGTTTGCTATCTCAGGTTTCTGCCAAATAAAAGTTTGACAAAAAAACTGCCAGAAATCGCTTACAGCCAATTTATTTCAAACTAAAATTATCCATTAGAAAATATCAGTGTACAAAACCCATTTACAAAAAATGGGTTAATTTCCCTGTCACAAATGACCATGTATATCAGTACAAATATACAGCTTTTCAATTTTGCCAATGATGTTTTGAGGTATGATACAATGTGAGATTTGCATTATACAAAAATATAATTATATGTAAGTTTATATATACAATTATAGATGTGACAATTATTTTTTATGTGAACCTTTTTTTTTTTTCAAGGAGCAAATATAAAAAAATCAGAAGCAAGAAACACACACACACTCACACGTAATTTTTTCTTCTTCATTTCTCACTCTTTTTCCAGTCTCTTTTTCCAGAATACTCTGGAGTGACTTTACATGCCCTCCGGTCCAAAGATCTCCACACATTCAATGAGAATGGACTCCATCATTTGATTCTGATACACCATATTGACTTCCATGTTTC